CAAGCGCGGAGTGCTGGTCTACGTGCGTGTCTACTCGGGACGACTCGATCGCAGCTGCGCGCTGTACAACACCAACCTGAAGGTCACCGAGCGGGCTCCCCGCCTGCTGAAGATGTACGCCAACGACGCCGTCGAGGTCGACTCCATCCCCGAGGGCCACATCGGCGTGGTCGTGGGACTCAAACACGCCCGGACGGGCGACACGCTGGTCTCCTACGCCACCAACCGACAGACACCCCCGGAACCGCTCGACACTCTTCAACTCCGACCCATCAAGGTCCCTCCGCCCGTGTTCTTCGCCAGCGTCGAGCCCCACAGCCTCAGCGAGGAGAAACGCATCCACGAGTCCCTCGCCATGCTCCTCCGCGAGGACCCGAGCCTGCACGTCACGGTCGACGAAGACAGCGGCCAGACGCTCCTCAGCGGGATGGGCGAGCTGCACCTCGAGATCGCGCGGGACCGGCTGATCAACGAGCTCAAAGCCAAAGCCACCGTGGGCCGCATCGAGATCGGCTACCGGGAGTGTCCCACCGGCGACTCCGAGCCCGTCACCAAGATCTTCGACAAGGAAGTCGCCGGCCGCAAGGGCAAAGCCGGATGCACCGCATCAGTCTCCGCGTTCGACCCGGACCTGGACGGCCTGCCCCCCACCGACGCGGACACCCTCTTACTCGAAACCCAGGACGGCAACCAGATCATCATCCAGGCCCCCGGCCTCCAGATCACGCGCAACCGGAAGGGCATCGAGGAGAGCGCGATCCTGCCCGTCGGGCTCGACGTGGCCACGCTCCGCACCTCGCTGCTGAACGGCTGCATCGCCGCCCTAGCCCGGGGCCCGCAGTTCTCGTTCCCCATGCACAACACCCGCGTGCACCTCACGCTGGACGCGGCCTCGCACCTCTTCGGCACCGAGAGCACCCCGTCGGCCGTCGCCTCGGCCGCGCGCCTAGCCACCACCACCGCCCTCCGCTCCCTCCTCACCAATCCCGGTACTGGCACCGCGCTGATGGAACCCGTGATGAACGTGATCATCAGCATCGACGAAGCCAGCCTCGGCGCCGTCGTGCACGACATCTCCTCCGCGCGGGGCGGCCACATCATCTCCCTGGACGAGGACATCCCGCTCCCATCCACGGACGCCGCATCCTCCACCTCATCCACCACATCAGCACCAAACATAATCCCCTACGAAGACCTCCCGCCCATCGACCCCAGCAAAGTCTACGCCCCGCCCGACCCCTTCGAAACCCCGACCATCGCTCACCTCGGCACAAGCGCCAGCTCCTCTTCAGCCGCCGCTGCCCTATCGGATACCGCTAACCGGCCCCGCACCATCACCGCCAAGGTACCCCTCAAGGAGATGGTGGGCTACCTCAAGCACCTCCGCAGTCTGAGTGCCGGGCGCGGCACGTTCGTCATGAGCGTCGATCGGTTCGAGAAGATGAGTGGCCCGCGTCAGAAGGCGGTGGTGTCCGAGTTGAGGGGTGGGTACTAGCTACCTAGTATTTCTCCCCTCTATCCCTGCCGGGGCTATATGAGTCGTGACCCTGTAGAAAAGAAAACAGACATGTATTATAATTGCCGCAAGTTAAAGGGCTGGGTAGATGTCCTACGCATAGAAGCCTTGTTTTCCTTTGAATAGCTGAAACGACTTTGCTTTCGAGATCACATACATGGACGGACAAACTCCTTTAGATCTCCAGAACGAGTGAATTACCGGTATTCATGAAAGAGAACACAAGAATAGACCTTTTTTTCCCTTGAGATTAAATCAAGTCGAAGCAAGTCTCCAAATTAAGGTATCATCAATCCACCATCAGAGAGCCAATAGTGACAATTAAGGAAAACAACACAACACACAACATGGTATTTGTGAAACATGGCATCTCATCTCATTACTGGGGGCATTAAAAAAAAAGGGAAAACAATTTCATAATAGGAGCCAATACGACTGAGCAGAGTTGCAAGAGAATCATTCCATCACAGTCTCCAAGAACTCCAGCAACGTCGGATCCAAACTAAACGGCCGGATCGCCTGCTCCTCCACGTCCGGCTCCGAGTAAGTGAAGTCCGCGCCCCACCACGGCGTCTCCCGCAAGGGGTCCGAGTAAGCCGACTTCGATTGCTGGGCGCCGCCGCGCTGGGCGTAGTAGTGCTCCAGACTGCCGTTGTCGGTGCGGCCGGCCAAGGTGGCAAGCTGGGGGATCCCGTTCAGATCGAAGCCGTGGATGGTGGCGATGCGGTGCAGGAGGTGCTCGCAGGAGATGAACGCCCGGCGGGAGCTGGGGCTCCGGCTGGCGATCGCGTGGAGCCAGCGCAGGCATTTTTTCGCCCGCTCAAGGACCTCCTCGGGCTCCTCGGCCGTACCCACAGATCCTTGACCTTCCTCGGTCATAGTCCCCCTCTGCACATCCACGGGGCCCACGCATAGCTGAATCAGCAGGATGACGATGGCTTGCATGATATAGTGCAGGACGGCCCACCAGGGTGTCATTTCGCACAGCCACTCCATGTTAGGGGGGTCGGGGAGGATGGCAGTCAAGTCCATGGCAGACTGGAGGCAGACCAGGGCCGTGGCATCGGCAAATGGAGAGCGCGGGTACCTGGTTTGAGTGCCCTCCTTCATATCAGGACGGGTGAGGCAAGGTCGGTTCAGGATAATCTGAGAACTGTAGAAAGCGAGAGCCAGGGCAATCCGTTCCGGGCACGGCGCTGTCAGTTTCAGCCGGCCGTTGCTGTCAGAAAACTGGAAGCAAGGCTGAAGGCTAGACAGCCAGTCTCTCAACATTCCTTGAAAATGGATGATTTTGTCACTGGCACATTTCGGCAAGCCAAAGGACGAATGAAGACTATAGACCGCGTTGACGGCAGCATGGCTGATCACAGCAAGGTCGGCCATGTAGAAGAAATAGAGGGAACGATTAGGCTCGACGGCTTGTAGCGCCTGATTTCTATCGTCAATCTGGAATTTGGGGGTGTGAATGGTAAAGACAAACGTTCGCTCCCGCAAAGCAGGATCGGAAAGAAATTTTGCGGCTTGAGGACCATGGAACTGTGCTTCGTCGAAGGGAATGGGAGCCGGGATACTGAAGGACCGCCATTCAATGCATGGGGTACGGCCTGTCATCACGGAGAGGAGTTGCTCCAGAATGAAAAGCGACCACCAAAGACGAGTGCGGGACTCCCTTGATGTAGCGTCTACATTGAGACCAACCCCACGGAGGTTGAGCCCCAATGCTATTGCACAGCGGGCAGCACGTCCAGCCATATGCCACGCTCTGGTCAAGTCAGTTTCGCGTCCGTTCACATCATAGAGACCCGCAACAAAGGAAGGAGGAACAACCTGTTCACCTGGGCGGAAGCGAGATGGTAGATGGAATAAAGCACCCAGATCTGGACCTGCTGAAGATCCGCATGCTCCCCAAGCAGGCTTGAATCGGCATTAAGAGCTATGGCGCGAGACAGAAAAGTACGATCATCGATGGCATCGGTCCAGTCTTTCTCAGATAGCTGCATATACTTGGCGCCAATGGCATAGACCAAGTTCAGGATTGTAAGCCACTTTCTGCGCGGGGGCTCCGACTTGGTGAAAGCCTGTTGACATTGTGATAAGAAGAGGGTCCTGTTCAGCAGCGGGAACGACGGGTCGACTCTCGCAATGTAGATGCTGATGAGTTGGTCGCTGCATGCTCGGGTTGGGAGAGCTTGCGGGTCCCCGGGAGTCAGGTTTGAGAAACTGAAGTGGTCGAGATGATAACTAAGCGAAGTCATATCATCTTCGGGCAGGCTCTCCTGCTGTGGCTGCGGGCTCTCGGACGAGTAGCTAAGTTTGCCGACTTCTTCAGTGAGCTTCTGCAACCAGGCGATTTCCGAGCCCCTGCCAATATAGCCGGTCGCCCTGCTGCGCTCGTCCCGGTTGATGTCTTCATTCAAGGTCGCAAAATCGTGAAGAGAGCCCGCCGACGAGGAAGCTGCGGTCGATTGCGAGGCGGCTATGTCTTTGTCTTGTTCTTTGGAAGAGGTTGGAATGTCCTTCTGTTCCACCGAGCTCGGACCTTCACTGCGCAGGAAGCCGCCTTTGATCATCGATGAGAGCCGGTCAAGTTCGGCAGTGTCTTTATTATCCGAGGCCACGACCATCTGGCCCAAAAGCTCGTACGCGGTGCGCAGTTCTCGCTCAGCCTGCCTCAGAGCCAGTTTCTTCCGCCTGTCGAGCTCCTCGGCAAAGACACATTGCGATCCGGCTTGGATGCATTTCTCGCATGGCTGGGTGCCTTGACACTGTTTTTCAAAAGTAATTCAGAACTTGTAAGGTCGCAGATTGTAAAGACACAGGGATGCTGGGAGGCTGTGGTGACGCACTTTAGTCTTTCGTTTCTTGCAGGCTTCACAAGCATTGGAGCGTTTCTTGATGTGCGGAAGATCGGGCGGGCTGGATCGCGAGGAGAGGATGTTATAGGCCGGAGCAAGGGTTTTAAGATCTCCAGGCCGACCTGTCTGCATGATTGGTGAAAGGGGTGATAGAGTTGGATGCTGATGCTGTCATAGTAAGGTACTCAATTGTTCAAACCCTGTTGGTGGGGGGAGAAGGCTGGGGGTGCAGATGGGAGATTGAAGGCCGGAAAGAGATGAGATGACGTGAGACCTCGAATCTGCAGTGCCAGGTGCAGTGGTAAATGTAAGTACGAGTAAGAGATACTAGAAATACTCAAAGAAATACTCGACAATGAGAGGCTGGATGTTTTTGCCTGCGTCTGGTTCCTTGCTTGGTGGGTCGCCGATTCGCCGCCGCCTGCCCCGCCCCCGCTTTTTGTCAAGCTGTAAGCAATACACAGTATGTACTGAGTAAGTTACTGTATGCTTGTGCTTCTCAGATTTGATCCAATCGATGGTATGTACCAGGTCTCGCGCTTTTTTTCTTGGACGGAAGAAAAGTCCGATTATGCATATCAACCTGGTTCCTGGTGGTACTCAGTGAAAGCTAAACAAGGAATATATATATACATATATGTATAATGTATAATGTATAATGTGTAAATGGTGCCAAGAAAGAAATAAACGAGTACTATGTACAACAATAGTACTCCCTCCACTCCCTTCACTCCCTCCACTATCCAAGCTCACCAATTGTCATCCCATCCACTATTATCCTCGAGGCTTTTTCTCCCCGTGCCCGTCCCAGACGCACCAGAGGAGGCAGAAGTAGTCGCTGTGGATCCAGCACCCGCAGCAGCAGCAGCAGCACCACCACCACCACCACCAGGCTTCATCGCAGCCGTGCCAATCGCACTCGATCTTGATGCATTCCGGCGATGACTATCCTGTTCTCCCAATGCGGAGAACGAGTCCCAAAAGTCCTTTCTTTCCGGCTCGGCTCCAGTCCGGCCCCGTTCCCGACGGGCAGCTGCCGCCGCCGCCGCCTCATCCTGCCCTTCCACAAAACGGTGAAAGTGACCTGCTGCGCCACGGGCCCCAGTTTGTAGGTTTTGACCTAGTTGGGAGGCCTGCAGACGAGCCTGCGCTGCGAAATCCGACTCCGCTATCTGTAGTTGCCCCTCAGAGGTCAGCCCTATCCTACCACCATAATTCACCAGTACATACCGTCTTGGCCGTTGGCTGGATATAGCTATCATTCACCGTCTTCGCCCCCTTCCCCACCGTTGTTGTGAACCATCCGAATCCTTTCGTCAACGCTGCCATGGGGTCTTTCTGAAAATCATCGAACCCCGGCAGGGCCCCAGAGCCTCCCGTGCGCTCGGGTCCCGCCGCTTCGGCGGGCGGCATCCCGCCTCCAAAACCCGTGAACTTGCCGCCTTGCGATGGCGGCAGGGACTCACTCCGGGTGGCATTCGCCGATCCCAGTTTGGCGAAATATGCCTCGTTGCGCTCTTTCTTGGTTGCGCTGGCACCCTCGTCGACGAGTCCGTCATGGGACGCGGGGGTGCCACCGCGTGCCAGAGGGGTGCTCGACCGTGACGACAATTCCAGCTGCTTCTTCGGTTGTTGTGGTGGTTGAGTCGTCTGGCCTGGCACATACTCCCTCCCCTCAATCTTGGCAGATAGCCTCTCCTTCCATTCCTCTCCGACTTCGCCCTCGTAACGCTCTTTGATCGTGGAGTCTTCGAAGGTGCGGCCCTCGGATTGAGTGATAACGTGAGCGTCAAAGAAGGATTTCCAGGGCTCATTACCGCCCTGTTCCATGCGCATGATCTCCGCGGTCTTGAAGGCGTCCATGGTGATGGAGCGTACGAAGGAGATGTGCACTCCTAGGCCGCGGTGGGTACCGGCGCAGTTAAGGCAGATGAAGGTCCCAAACTTGGGCGATGCCTGGTTAAGGCAAGCGGGTTAGCATGTGAAAGCATCTCTAGCCGAGCAGGGCGTGATGTCGAAGGAGTGTGGGAATGGGGTGGTGTGGTGACGTAGGAAGATGGATGTGCAGCAAGGGGCAGGCAGTCATTAACCCACCCATTGGGGCGAGGGAGCGCCGCAATCGCAACATTTGTCGTTTCCGTTGGTTTTGGAGATGTGGAGAAGCTGATGATAGAGACCGGTCAATAATGTGTCAAGACGTAGTAGGGTGACGACGATTGAGTACAGTTGAGGGAGGAGAAGGACGGGGACATCGAGGGGTAAGGGAGGGAGGGAGGTGGTGATAGTAGCAGTAACAACAAGCAAGCAAGTGGCTCGCTCACCTTGGCCCTCGTCTCCGGATCAACCTCCCACATGCGAGACATGGCAGCTCAGGAACTCACTGATCAAGAAACAGACTAAACACTGAAGGGGTTGCGGGACAGGAGAGCGATTGATTTGCCTTCTGCTGCTTTGTTTGTCGTGGTGGAAGAAAGAAGTGGTGGTTTCAGGCCAAGTGCAGCCGCGACAGGCGGGCAGCGAGCGGGAGCCGATCGGCGGCGCTGCCTCTGTTGTTGCCGCGGGCTGCGGTTGCTGCTTTTCACCCTGTCCAACCCACCCACCACAAGATCTATCATTTACTCAGTAGCTCACTCAAATGCATGCATCTCATCGTCTGAGAATTCTACCGTGCTTGGTGGGGTCGATGTCATACATATTCACGACCAATTTACTCAACTACAACAAACAAACAGAGACACCAGATCGTCATTACAAGGCCAGCCTTGCGGCTAATCATCACTTCGATAAATGGGGGCTAAGATACAGGAGCACAAGAGCAAGATTCGTGAACAAAAGCCAGGTTCTTCCGTCACCACCACACATTACGGGGTTTTCGTCTCCCGCCTCACCGCACGGAGCCTTTTCGGGAATCCGTATATAGCAAGACATAAGATAGGTTATTGGAAAGAAAAGTTGAAAAAGATAACCACTCCTCCGGCGCAGACTAACTCAATCAGGATGAAATCGTCCACAACTTTTTCAGTAGAACGTTTTCGGTGGCTGTCTTGTCATCTATCCAACCCCCGACTGGAAAAATGACAACACTGGCCGCCTGACGAACGACCACGACTAGATACCGCCTCCAGATGACGGCTCCCGACTCTGTCGTCACCTCGATCCCTCCCTGATTATTCCATCAGGGATCACTCGTTCAGGTGGGGAACGAACTTGTCCTTTACTCAGCAGCAGCAGCAGCCGCCGCCGGAGCAGCATTCTCCTGAGCTGGAGCCTCGGTGGCCTCGGTGGCCTCCTCGGTCTTCTCAGTCTTCTCAGTCACCGGGACGGCATCATCTTCCTTGCCAGGGCTGTCGATGGCAACCTTGACAGCAATCTCGCGGCCCTCAATTTCCTTGCCGTTCATCTCGTTCACGGCCTTCTCCTGGAGCTCTTCGGAACCGAGGGTGACGAAGCCAAAGCCACGACCCTTGCGGCGCTCGTTGCGAGCCTGGAGCTTCTTGATCATGAAGCGGGGGATGGGGCGGAGGGCGATCTTGGCGGAAACGGGCTGGTAGTCGGCGAAGATCTCCTTGAGCTATTAGAGGGTTAGTCATGCACAGTGCCAGTATACGTCGACTAGATCATACCTTGTCCTCGCTCAGGTCATAGGGAAGGTTGGCAACCATAACCTTAGTCTTGGAAGGGATTCCATCCTCAGGAGGGCCACGCTGCTTCTGAGCACGAGGAGCACGGGGCTTGCCGGCCTGCTTGCCAGCCTCAGGAGCGGCAACGGTCTCGTTCTGGTTGGTGACCTCAGTCAAGGGGGCGACCTGACCAGGGACGTTGATGGGCTCGGTAGGGGCCTGCTCAGCTTGGGCTGGGGGCTGGAAACCGAGAGCAAGTATTAGCCTAAAGAGTACTGCAAAATCACGACAAGCTGCAGATAGAGCCTACCGAGCGTCCTCCACGGGGCAGGCGGCCACCACGACCGCGGCCACGGCCACGGCCACGGGCACGACCACCAGATCTCTTGCGACCTTCAGCACCGCTGGCGCCCTCACCGCCACTTGCGGCACCCTCAGCCTTGGCCTCGGCAGGCTCAGGCTTGCGGGCGAGCTGCACGGAGACCTTGCGCTGAAGGATCTCCTTTCCAGACAGCTCCTCAATAGCAGCGGTCGCCTCGTGAGCGGTGGCCAAGTCCACGAAGGCATAGCCAACGGGACGGTTGGTACGGGGGTTCACAGGAATGGAGACGCTCTCACTAGGTGATGACAGTTGATTAGTTTTGCGGTAAACTAGAGACCATTTATCCGTAGAGACGAGTCAGGCAGAAGGTGGTAACAGAAGCGTCCAAGGCAAAGTGTCCACTAAAGGGGCTACAAATTCGAAGACGACCACTGCCAAAGCGAAACCCAAAGTGCGCACGGGGGATCATATTATTTTTGATTGTGCGCGATCACCCCCAGTTACTCGTGGGCCGTGAATTGGACGCCGCTCAGACCAAGGGAAGGAAGAGGCCAGGTGGACGGAAGCGCGAGCAACAGGGAAGGAGCAGCACTTACATCTTGTAGTTCTGGAAGAACTCCTTGAGCTCCCCCTCAGTGGTCGCATAAGCGAGGTTCCCAATGTACAACCGACGTCCTTCATCGGCACTGGCGGCGGCCGCGTCCGTAGACTGGGCAGGAGCAGGAGCAGTGCCGTTGGTAGTAGCCTCCGGGGCGGTGGCGGCGGGGGTAGCGGCGACGTTGTCGGTGGTGTTTTCGACGGCAGTAGACATCTTGAAGGCTGAGGACACACAAAAGGTCGAGATAGGTGATTGAGGTGGTAAGGTGGGGGGAGGTTTGCGCGCGCGGATTGACTTGACCGGGGGATGTGTGTAGCTGTGTGTCGGGATGCAACAAAGGACTCAGGAGAGCTTGAGGCTGCCTTGTGCTTGAGGATTGGAAGTGGGAATTAACTTGAAGAGGGGGGCGAAGATGGAAAAGAGAAGAAGGAGGAAGGAAAAGGGTAGCTTGGTGCCCTAGATATGAAAGTTGACGGGAAGAGGGGGGGGAAGTGAAATTGAGTTGCAGTGGAAGAGGAAGAAGATTTGTCTTGAGGAAGGATGAGGTCGACTGGGGGGGGGGGGGGAGGGCGGCGAGACAAGGAGAAGGTGAGAGAAAAGGGCAGGCGACGAGGGAGGTGGCGGAACTAAACCCAAGGAGGTAATAAGCTGCCTTAAAATGCCTGAAGATGTCTTTGATGCCTGAAGGGACTAAGAGACTAAACCCGAAATAGACGCCCGACGTGGACTTTCCGGTCGGGCGGTCTAGGCGGTGGACGGTCTGACATCACTGCTACCCAGTAACTACCGTACCGTACCCTCTTGCTTGACTCACTTTCTCATCATCAACCTTCAGGCAGGAACAATCCTCCTTCCCTCTGATCAAGGATGCTCTCCTCCTCTCCTCCTCTCCTACTAGCCTCCTATCCTCCTATATTCTACGTGTTATTCTTCTATATCGACAGTGAATAACTGAGACTTTCATTGCAATATCTGACTCCTTCCTTCCCCCTCCCACCTATTCAATGATTCTTTCCATTAGTCAGAAGCGTCCCCCCTCTCGATCGCTCCACTACCTCACCTGTCCCACTGTGACTTTCCGGCTGCCCTGCTTTCCCGTGGTGGAGTCTCGCTCTATCGCGAACCTTCCTCGCATTGCGCATACCCCTCAGTACCCCTCCTCCTCCGATCTCGCCAATTACTTAGTATGACTGTCACTTGAGACAGCTTCGCATTGATGGATGCATTTCAGGAGCTTTATGCACGAATTAACTGGACTAAAATACCATTAAGCTCTCGGGACCAGCCCGGGGGATCCTCGCTGCAATCAACCAATAGCCAAGCACAGTTTTAGACTATTGGGGGAGCCGCCAATTCGCCTGATGAGGCTGTATTGACAGACTCAGCAGATATGTCGTAGTTGTGTCACGACGTATTTGCTAGACCAACTTCTGAACCATTCATTCGCTCTTGCAGACCCTGCTCGCTGAAAACAGCCGTGTCTATTGCATCTTCTGCAAATGGTGACAGTCTTCTGCGAGCATTGCGTGTGGCATGCTTTTTGCTGGTTGTCTCGCGTCATTGCTCACTGGGTGTACGCTTAGTCCCAGGTGAGCGATTTTCCTGTCCCTCCTCAACGGCCACAGGCAATGTACTGCTGTTCCCGTCTCTATCTCCGTATGGACGAACGACGGGATCTGGAAGCGATGTCGTTGATGTGCTGCCAGCCTCAACAGCAACAGCGCCCATGAAGTCCTCCGGCCCCTGCTGAGACGGGTACTTCTCAGAGGAAGGGTCGATCTTTCGACGCTTCGAGCTACGTATGCCATCATCTTTGGATGAGGTTGGCATGGTTGGGACGGTTGCATGAGTGTCTTCGCTCATGTCGCTTGACTTATCGTGTTGACGCTTCACGCCGGTGGTGGTAGCCTTCTGGCCTGCTGGCGAGCTCGACTTGATAGCAGACGTGTCATGAGGTAGGCTTTCCCTCCGCGACATCCTTGGCAGATTGCAAAGGTACATCGGATGACAAGGGCGGGGAACCAGGCGGAGAGGGGGCAGTGCTAGCAGATGGCCTCAATCGTGACCGCTTGTTTGCTTTCCCAGAGGTAGTCAGCAAGACTTGCTCAAAATGAGCGCTCCACGTAGTTATCATGTGCTGCCCGTATTGTGCAATGCTCATATTGCGATCTCTATGCTGTGTGAAGGTGGGATCCGAGAGAGGCGCGAGGACTAGGGCACTCATCGCCCCCGCGAGATGGCTCGGGCTGCAACCATGATAAGCTGCGAATTCCTCGTATGGAAATGTAACTGCAATCTTGGTGGCCATGTCGGCAAAGAACTGGTCAGTGTACGGCGAATAGGTGTCTTCAACGCGGTCAGTTGGGCTCAAAGGAGCCTGCGCTGTCTTGGAGATAGTTTTCTTGATCTTTCCTGCCATATTAGTGACGCTGATCAAAGCAGAATTGAAGCAGAATCCGAAGTCGAGTTGGAAACAACTATGGCTGAATGTATATGGCTGGGGAAGAATGGTCACCGCGAAGTCTTGCGACTTTAATTGCTAAGTTGGTGCTTACGCAGGAAGGGGAGAAATCGAGACAGACCAAAGGATACAGATTGAGATGCCATCACGATGGTTAGGAGGAAGAGGGGGTTATTAACACATGGCTGCACAGTGTTGATTTGAGAGTGTCATTGTCTGGGACATTCACAGGGAAACATGCAGAGGGTGGAAGACTGAATGGTTGAATGGTTGAATGTTTGAATGAATGAATGAATGAATGAATGATCTGACTTGCATCTTGCATCTTGCATCTTGCAGCTTGGGAATAAATTGTATACGAACAACGAACGGCTTAGGAATTGGTTTGTGCCACCACCCGCGGTCTGGGCCGGGTCCAATAATAATGGATAAATTAAGCTTTGGTCCCTTCCAACACCTGAAGGTCTTACGGTCGTCTTCCTGCTTTTCCTCTTCCTTATTCTCTCTTTTTCGCCTCCCCTCATCCCCTCATCCCCTTTCATGCCTAGTGAATCTTCTTTAGTCACTGTCTTTTAGACCTCATCCCATCAGGTCTCTGTTGGCCTGCAATGGATTCTATTGAGCCTGTCTCTGGTGCCTCTAATTCTCCTGAACCCGACCACCTCCGACCGACGTCATACCCGGCACGTCCACGGGCGCCTTCGCTGCGCTCTCGACGGCCCTCGATTAGACTCCAGCGCCTCCCCTCCTTTGACAGCTCTGGTGTACAATCTCAACGCAATGCACAGACTCCCAATCGACCTTTAGCCTCCCAAGTCGATCTTACCCCATCCAGGCCCGATGCGGACGATGAAGATGATGATGATGATGCCTGGCAGGGAAACCGTCGCCGCAGCAGCTCCGAGCCCCGACCGGGACGATGGTCGACCGCCCCCAACCCGGTTCTTCTCACTCGGTTCGCGACAGGAGATCAGATGCACACTCTTCACGAAGAAGCCTCTCCACAGAGTCCCGGAGTAGCTGCTGATTCCCTACCACCGTTGCCACAGCAGAATCCCGAATCACTGCAAATTCCACGACGGGGGAGCCGCGGTTTCATGCGCTGGTCGGGTGGGGTGCCCGCAAACCGCTTTACCAGGAATCGCGCGTCAACCGTGAGTGGGAGTGCACCGGCTCAGACGGCGGACTTAGGCGACGAATATCGGTCTCATATTGTGGATGTCTTGGATGTGATCGGTAAGTCGCCGTTGTCGCACAACTCAACCCCGCAGGGCCCCACTGATATCAGTATCCCGCAGATCCCGAAGTGTCGGCACTTTCCACCCTCACCAACGTCCAGAACTCATTATTCGTTCCTAATCTGGGGCCTTTCTTGAACCGTAATCAGACCTATACCCTTTCACCACCGCCTGCACCTCTGAGGAACCTTGAATCGTCGACCAGTGATGAGGGCGAAGATGAGGGCTACGAAAAGGGCCAGGAGCCCGCCGTCCGTCCTTCCATCGAGCACACCCTCACTTCTGTGGTTGACGAAGGCGGCGGGCCTCGATTTGCTGTCCTGCCCGAAGGTAGCGATCTTGCCGGGTGGTCTCCCGAGGAGATTGAAGAACTGAACGACCATGTCCGGCACATGTTGCACTCGCGGAGGTCCAAGTTCAAGCGTGCCATGAAAGGTTTTGGGAAATATGTCTCTAAGCGTATGTCTGGCCATTGCTACGGAACGAGCGGGTCACTAACGCATTAATCTCTCAGCGCTGGGGTTCTTGGTCACATTATACGCCACGTTGATTACGCTTTTCGGTCTGGCGTGGGTGTTGTTCTTGATCGGTGTGTATCCCGTCCCGTTCCGCTCCAAACATGCTGATAGATCACCAAGGTTGGATCAACGTCGGAGGCCGGCAGTCGTATCTCATCAACGTCATCGACAATGTTCTTGTGGCCCTGTTTGCCGTCATGGGTGATGGTTTGGCTCCGTTTCGCGCCATCGACACATATCACATGATCTTCATCGCACGTTATACCTTCCTGACATGGAAGATCCGTCGAAAGCGCCGACTTCCCGATCTCAAAAACAAGAACGATTTGCCTTCACGCCGAGAGGAGGACGTGGACGTTGAATTCGGCGACACTCCAAAGGAGGAAGAACACGAGTTCAGCGTGCTTGGACCGGCGCAGCAGGCCAAACTGATCCACCACCAAACCAAGCTTGCCAATTCGCACACTTTCTACAAACCGCACGAAACTTTCACCCACCATGCCTTTCCGCTGCGCATGCTCATTGCTATTGTGGTCCTGCTAGACTGTCACTCGCTGTTCCAGATTGCTTTAGGTGCCTGCACTTGGGGCATCAGCTACCACGTGCGCCCATTTGCGTTGACCACTGTCATCCTCTGCTGCTCGATCTGTTGCAATATCTCCGGCGGGGTCCTGATCATGATCGGAGATCGGAGGACACGCAAGAAGGACGTGGTCGAGCGCCTCTTCCGACAGGAGCTTACGCAAGAAGCGATGAAGAAGATGCGAAAGAAGAGACGCAAGGAGGAACAGAGCAAATCCGAGCATCAATCACCCTTGACTCGTTCCCATTCCACCTCGTCGCGGGCCGAGGACACGGAACCTTTCCCGACGGTGTCTTGATCTGCGCTGTCCGACTACAATATGATAATTGCTCTCCCCCGAGGGATAATGCACGCTATCTCTACGAAGCCATGACATTCCCAGACCTATACTCCGCTGGACAACTACGAATAATCAACCTTACCCAACGGCACGTCGTCCGTTTTAATCGTTCCACAGGAACTTACTCACTTCAGCGACCCTGAAAATCCACAACAGTGGTATGCTAAAAATACACGGCGTCCTAGATGAGTCGTGGCTTTTTACTAAGAGCTCGCTGCTTGCTTTTCTGCTCTTTGCTTGTCAATATCTCGATATTGATGATATCACTTTGGTCGCTCAACGCATATATATATCTATATCCCGTTTGCTGTTTCAAAACTAGCTTATTTTGATTTACTCGTCTTAGGCATTTGATACCAAGAGCACGTCACTTTCTTTCTTCCTCTATTGTTTTCTGTTGCTCTCTTCTAGTGGATGTAGAACCTAGCATAGGAACTGAGGTCACCAATCCTGGCCCCAAACAGCCCTCTCCCTCGCTGATGAGGCGCAACCACCCTTAAGCCTTACAGTTCCATCCCACGCAAACAGCCGAACCCACAACAAAGATGTCAGTCAGAACCCAAAGCCAAAACAAAGAAGGCACAACCAGCCCCAACACAGAGAAGCACCGCGGAACTACCCGCCCGCCACGTAGAGCCACCACACCCGAACTATAGAATCTTGATACAACTGAAAGCTCTTGTTCACCAGGGTGCTGTATCAAGCAAACACCCGTCCAAGCTTCACCGTCAACAACCCCCACAAGAAGTAACGCTCCCAACCCGACCCAACCCAAACCCAGCAACAGACAAGTTCCTCCTTGATGCACATGCCCCATCCCCATCCCCATCCCCATCCCCTACAACGCACTAACTAAAACAACAACACAAAAGAACCAAGCCGGCCCCCCCATCCCCCACAAAGCACCGCCACCAGCAAAGAAAGTACCGGGCCTCCCCATCATCCACAAAGACAACAGACCCAGCTCAACAACCTTAGACGCTCCGAAACCCAAACGCACCCAAAAGACCGATCCAAGCATAAGCGCGAGCTAACCCCAGACAACGCCAACAAAGCCCTAACAAAAAAAAAAAGGCTCCCATCCTGGACGGACGGATATATAAACCCACCCAACTCACTCAGACATGAGCTTTCTCAGCCCCCCTTGCTACGCACACCCAACTCAACCCTTCCCTTCCTTTCCCATCCCAAACCGACGAACATCACCAGCTAACTAACCCCACAAACCAAACCACTACCCAACCCCCGGAATCAACAGACCCAACCCAAGCCCTACTGGGTACAGCAGCTCGCCCCAAAATGTGCGAGCAAGTCTACAGCCACTACGCCGGGTGCAATCACCTGTACCGGACGGACATCCAGTGGTGCGCGGCGGCCAAGAGGCGGCCGGCGCCGCAGCGCGAGCCGTGCCAGCCCGCCAAGGATCTGCCCATGGTGCTGTCCAAGTGGGAGCGGGACAACGTGGGGCTGTGTGACCGGTGTTTGGATCTGAAGCTGTACGGGGTGCATAATGCGCGGACGACGCGGATGGGGTGGTACTGATTTTGTCCCTAGTCCCCTAGAACAGTGTGGGATGAAGCGGAGACGGGGATAAAGGCGGGTGATGTAGAACCGGGTAGCTTACAAGGGTGGGTTCTTAGGTTTTCTTACCTTTCCTCGGTTGAGGGTCCGATTAAATTATTATTATTGCAGACGTGTCCAGTCTTCCATGTATGAGTAGCAACTGAGTAGAGTGTAAAATAGGAAATGGTTCCAGCTAGTGCTGGGATCTAGCCTAGTATCGGCCTCTGTATAGACATATGATGAAGGAACGAGTGAGGGTTGGGTTCATGTACAACAAAAAGAAACACTCACGCTCGACGCGAATTATCAGAGCGGAGACAAAGCTTTCAATGATAGACCAGGAAGTATCTGTAAAAGATGATAAGAATCAAACAGATAATCTGCCTCCATAGGCATAAAACATGCAAATCCCAGATTGATGATGCTCAGAGGACCAACTGCTGGATTCAGCTCAAAAAAAATCGGAAATTTAAATCAAGTGTGCCGACCACACAGAGAACTCGCTGAACAAACATGGAAGATAAGAAAAGTCACGAGAGACTGGGTTCAATCACCAGCCAAGCAAGGACTGGCCCTGTACAGAGTCACATAGTGTAATTGTCGCTTTTGTCTGAGGGAGAACCAAACATCATTTACAACTCCCCGTGGAGAAGTTCTTGCTCCACTGGCTTTGCGTCGGATCGTCGGCTAGAAAGAATCTTCTCCAGCGTGTCGAGCCGCTCGCGTGTGGACCGGATGGCATGGTCCATCTCGAGATCAGACATCTTCTCTTCATCCACTCTGCCGGCGAGCGCACGCTCACCTTGCATCTTTCTCGACAGATGGTGCGTCCGCGAACCGGACGGCTGGCTGACCGTCGGAAAGGCCAGA